CTCCGAGTCGCCTGACAACATGCTATCGTGGCACGTCACCTATGACAGACGCCTGACAATGGTTCAGGTTGTGCCAACGCAGCGATCTGGCTGCGTCGACATACTGGAACCCAAACAGTGCATCCAAGCTGGGTACCACGCGGACCGAATGGATGCCGCACTATGGGCGGAAGTTCGTCAGTCGCTTGGCTGGGAGGATGGCATCTGCCTCGTTTGCCACATGGGGCACAAGTCCAGATACGGTATGATAGGATTATGATAGGATGTTCAGTGTGTCGAGAAGACATTGCCTATGACGCCCTGCCGTACCAGCCCTGGACACTTGAGCCTGCAGTGGATTGGATGGCGGCTGGAATGGTGAAAGATCGGCGGACTGCGAACGTGCCCTATGAGCGCGGAGGCGGCAGACTGCGGACACGGGCATCCTTGGTTCAGAACTGGGATCGTGCTCAGCAGAAGTGGCGGGACAATTCGAGGATGGACACCTCCGAGGGCGCGCTGACGCGATACCACGCCGCTATGGCGGGGAAGACCGCCACACTTTCGGCTGAAAGATCCGTGTTCGCCTGGATTCTGGCATCACCGCACGACAAGCGCCCTGCCCATGGCAACAAGGCGCGAGAGGTCAAAGCACACAAGCTGGCCCGACGATGGATGTCGTTCCAGGAACATCTTGGATTCCAACCCACTGGCAACGGTGCGACCTGCCCGACGTGGATGTGGTGGGCGTACCTATCACGACGGGTGGATCAGTCTGATTCCAGTGCGGAAATGGGTGTCTTGAGCGTCTTCGACTGGGACGCCACTGACCCTGAGGCCCGCGATGCCGCCGAGCCGGCCGCTGGATGGCCCCGATGGCGCCATGTTCATCGCGACAGCCTGCCGCTGGGACTTGATCAGCTTTGGCCAGAAATCCAGCAGGAAATAGAGTCCTGTTGGTTGCCGAAGGAAGAGTGGCCTGGAGTCGAGGAAAATGAAGAAGAAGCAGAACACGATCGGGGCGCGCGTAGACGCCGCCCCGCCTCGGCGCGGCCATCGCCTCGTGCCCGTGGCAGACAAGGCAGATCGAACAGCCGCTGGCGCGTGCGTTCAGCGGATGCACCATAAGCATTCGGAGGACGCGCCATGCGCAGACGAACAAGCTCTCGAGTACCTCGCCAGTTCCAGGATATCCACCAGCCTGATCTCAGGCTATCGATCAACAAGTACCGCGTCACACAGGCGGCCCATGAGCTTGTCACGTACTTCGCGGCGATTGACGAGCCCCTGGTTTTCCATCAGGCAGGAGCTCACGCCTCCTGCGAAGACCAGATCCGCAAGATGTGGCACGAACCGCCCGATTTTTCCGTCTACGACCCCGACCTCTTCAACACCGGGACCAAATGGATGTCAGAACAGGCATGCAGGGCTGCAGTTGAGTTGACGAATGACTTCGATTGGACGCAGATCGTTGTGAACCACGCAGATGGCAGCGCCATGCGCGCCCATCTCACGGAGGTGAGGCAGTTCCGCGCGACACTGGTGCGCGAGCTCAACATTTTGAAGGTGCATCGCGAGATGCTGGGGCTGGTTCGCAAGGACATATTCAGAAACCGAACAGATTTGCCACGCGTCGCATCAGATGCGCCCCTTATCGAGGCGTGTATGGAATACGCGTTGCAGTCGCATGCGGCAGCGGTCACCCGTGGTCAGCGGGCCACGTTCGACACCTTCCAGCACTCAGCAACTGAAAGGTGGCCGTTGCATGTGTACGAGGCTGCCGTATATGCATTGAATGCGCGGAAGCAGCAAGGAGTGGCGCCACCCGAGTCTGACGAGGAACGCCACCCTTCACGCGTGCCCATGGCACGAGGAGCACGGCGTCGCAAGCCCTCGGCGGTCACCGCCAGGGCTGCCCGTTCTGTCGGCCGCAAGCGCCCGCTCAGCCACTCGTCGGTACCTGGGGGCAGAGCGGCTGCGTTTCAGGCGGCTGCGTTCCCGCGCGCGGCTGGCGGCGAGGGCAGCGCGTCAAGTGGCGCTGCCCCGCCGCCGCCGGCAGCTGCGGGCGCGGGAAAGGGAAGGCGACCCCGAGAAAGAGGGGGCAGTCGTTCAGCTTCCCCTCCCTCGGTTCGCCCGTGCCGTTACGCGGACATCCGCCAGTCGGAACGCAGTGGCGCTGCGTCGTCGTCTTCCCAGCAGGTTCCTGTGTCCTCTCACCGCCCATGGCGCGAACAGGAGCAAAGCCGACCCCCTATCGACCGCGCCTGGGGTGCGTGGAGGGGCACTTCCAGTCGTGCCAGGAGCAAAGGACCGGGCGAAGATAACCGTGGCAAGGGACACTACGGCAGTTGGGCGGGTCGCCGTCATGACGACCGTGACCAATGGCGCCGCGACGGCGGACGGCATTGGCAAGCCCCAGACGCCAGACGCCTACGCGCCCATGGCGTTCTGGAGGCTAGGCCAGTGTACACACACACACACGCACATTCTCGGCCCATGGCCGTATGGTGCGCCACAAGTGCCAGGCGGGGCTGCTAGAGGCTGTGGGAGCTTCGACCCCGCGCTCATATGGCCGAACGGTGCATGCCGCGTGGCTGGCGGGGCTGCTGGCGGCTGTGAGGGCCCCGCGCCCGCGCCCGCTTTAATTCGACGCCGTCGGGAACGAATAGCCCCGATGGTGCTACGTCGGCCCTGGCCGGCCGCTGCGGCCGGGCCGCCGCGGGGGGAGTCGTTGCCATGCGCTCCCTGCCGCCGTCCTATGTACATACCAAACCTTGATTATACCGATAGTTGACCATAGCTATTTCGGACTGGAAAAGAGACCGCGCGCGTGCCCCGCGCGCGCACCTATAATACAACGCATCTTCCTTTCCATTTTGCTTAACGGACCATGCATCCTTTACTTTCTGCCCTGTCCTTGGACCCGCTAGCATGGACCCCGACATCACGATCGGCAGTACCTGATGAGTTGAGCCCTGTTGGGCTTCAATAAATTGGGTAAGGATGGGAGGAGGAGGAGGAGGAGGAGGAGGAGGAGGAGGAGGAGGAGGAGGAGGAGGAAGAGGAGGGAAAGAGTAGACGGAGGTTCGAGCCCATGAGCCCGAGGAGGATGTGGAGGATGAGATTCCACGGTCGAAGAATAGGATTTTTCTCTTCTAGTCTGTCTGCTTTGGGAACTTCACGAGGCCCCTTCCGACACCATGACCGAGTCCGCCTCAACATTGCTGATGCCCTGCGAATGCCGACTTGCCCATCCATGAACGATCCCCGGGCGGTTTGCCTTGACCAAGGATTCGGAGGAGCACGGAGCCCAGGAGTGATCCGCACATGCCTTCGCGGATCTTTCCAAGGAGGAGTTTTGTTTGACGACGGCCGCACCACATGATCCACAAGCGCGACTGCTTACTGCAAATGTGGGGAAAAACAGTGAGAATAGAGAGCCGAGCGGAGGTCCCATAGCACGCAAATGCTGAAGGGGAGCCAGGGAGACGCCCCACACAGCCCCACACCCACTCAGAGCAAGGCTCAAACGATGCGCGAACACGCGCACCTAAAACACCTGGCAGCATGCACATTGGCGCGCCGCGCGTTCTGACATTCAGAGGCGGCGGGCGCCTGGGGGCAGCAAGGGGGCACTGGGCCTGCTCTGTGCTGCCGCCCAGGGCCCTCAGATAACGACACGCACCGCGGGGCACCACTCCCATGGAGACAAACCTACCCCCACGCACGCCTGGGCGGGGGGGCGAAGGCTGTGGGAAGGATGGGTAGGGATCCCCCAATGAGCCGCCTGCAGGGGACCCGCGTCCCCGCCCGAGCCCTGGCGGGGTACCAGGTGGGCCAATTCCGAGGGGGACGCAACGTGGCGACGAGGGTGCAATTTTTTCTCCCCCAAGCCCCTACGGGCAAACACTGGCGACGAACGCGCTGCAACCCGCCTGTTTTCCTGGAACGCTCGGAGGCACCCAGTGGCACAGGTGCCAGCATTCCAAGTAGGAGGGGGGGTGATGATGATGCTGATGATGATGATGATGATGATGATGATGATGATGATGATGATGATGATGATGATGATGATGATGATGATGATGATGATGATGATGATGATGATGATGATGATGATGATGATGATGATGATGATGATGATGACGATGATGATGATGATGATGATGATGATGATGATGATGACGATGATGATGATGATGATGATGATGATGATGATGATGATGATGATGATGATGATGATGATGATGATGATGATGATGATGATGATGATGATGATGATGATGATGATATGGAGGAGGAGGGAGGAGGAGGAGGAGGAGAGGAGGAGGAGGAGGCGGAGGTGGAGGAGGACGGGGAGGAGGAGGAGGAGGAGGAGGAGGAGGAGGAGGAAGGTGGAGGAGGAGGAGGTTGAGGAGGAGGAGGAGGAAGAGGAGGAGGAGGAGGAAGAGGAGGACGAGGAGCAGGAGGAGGAGGGGACGGAGGAGGAGTAGGAGGAGGAGGGGATGGGGCGAAGCAGGAGGGGTGGAGGAGGAGGAGGAGGAGAAGGCGGAGGAGGAGGAGGAGGAGGAGGAGATGGAGGAGGAGGAGGAGTTGATGGAAGGATGAGAAGGTGGAGGAGAAGGAGGAGGAGGAGGAAGAGGATGGGGGAGGAAGGCGCCCCGAAGCCCTCCGCCCTCCGTCGCCTCCCCCAGTCTCCCCACGAGAACATACATGCCCAGCATGTTTCGAAGACGACCCGAGATGGGTTGCAAGAGGCCCCGCTGCAATCCATGTACTACCCCCGAGATGGGAATATTGCCCCAGTGTCTTACGTATTCGTGCAAGTTCGGCGGCTCAAAATGGTTCCGAGGCGTGCCCCGGGGTTCCACGAGGCCCCGAAGGGTCTCCGAGAGGGCTCCCAGACGTCCCCGAGACCCAGGATGCCCGCCAGGCACGCCCCGGGACGGCTTCAAGACGGTCCTTAACCATCTCGATTCGTGCTGTCTCGGCTCACAAGTTGTCTACGCCACGACCTTGCGCCTACCCCCCCAAGTTCATATAAGTGCTCTGCGGAAGGCACACGTGCACCACCGTGTGTGCCCGACCAGGGCCGTCCTGCCTTTTTCTGTTGGGATGGTGTGCAGACTTCCCCGGCTTCGACCAGGAGGGCGTCGGGGCCCGGGGCGGCTCTGGCCGGGCATGCTGCCGGTGGTGTGCACCCATACCCTCGACGGCATGTTTTTTGTTCTGCAGCGCGGTCCCCCTCGAGGCCTCGACCCCTTCTGGGAGAGACCGCCTCTTCCTCCGTCTTCCGACGAGGCGCCCCGGCCGGGCGAGGAGCCCGGGCAGCACGACAGCGGCCAGCATCGTGCCCATTTCGCCCGGAATCGCTCCGGGGAAAGCCTCCCCTGCAGAAGCTGCCTCCCAACGGATTGGGGCTGTATATGCCTTCCCAGACATGCGGTGTTCTGATGTTTTCCACACGGGCCCCGGGAAGTCCCAACCCTTCCCCCCCCGAGGCCGGCTTCTTTCGCATCCCGAGTCGCTTCCTGGACGGCCCTGGGGCCCGGCGAGGGGGCCCCCCGGAGGCCGACGAGGGCCTCGAGAGCTCCCGCCGTTCCTCTGCCTCCGCGGCGCGAGCACGTCTGGGTTGCAGCGATGGGGGTGCACGCGTGCCTCCTGCGCGCTCCACTCGCGGCCAACATGGCGGGCGTTGGGCGCGCGCTCCTCGCCGCGATGCTGGCGCCGGCGGCCCTGAAGGGCGCGGCCGGGCTCCACCTCCAGGCCGCGGGCGACAGCGCCGGCTGCGCGGCGCTGACGAACCACGGCACGCACTTCACGATCGACGTGGACGTCGGCACGCCCTCGCAGAGGTGCGTCGCCCTCTGCCGGAGGCTGAGCAAAGCGGCGGATCCATTCTAGCTCTTGTGCGGGCCCCACCGTTCCAAGCTTCTCTGGGCATGCCCAGAGCGACCATGCCCAGAACCCAGAACGATCATGCCCAGAGGTCTGTCGCTCTCTCTCTCTCTCCCTCTCACTCCCTCTCTGGTCTCTCCGCGCGGGTTTGTTGGATCCGCTCCAGGACCCCCTGGCGGCGCCCTAGGGCGCCGCCCCTGGCGCGCTCCGCTTGCCATGCAGCGGATCCAACTCATCCGCGCGGACGTTGGAAATTTTTATGTTTATGCATTTGTTTGTTCCACTCTCTCGTTTTTTCCCAACCATCCTGTGGTGTTGGGTCCTCGTGTTGAAGAGACAGCGCCCCGCGCCTCCTCACCTCCTCTCCTCCTCCTCCCATCCATCATCTCCATCATCATCATCGATCATCATCATCATCATCATCATCATCATCATCATCATCATCATCATCATCATCATCATCATCATCATCATCATCATCATCATCATCATCATCATCATCATCATCATCATCATCGTCATTGTCATCGTCGTCATCGTCATCGTCATCACCCACTTCGGCACACCCCTCACACGTTTCGTGGCCCCATAGGGAGCTCCACCGAAGGCCCCAGTGCTGCCGTCCGCATGCGTCCCGCACACCCATTTCGGCACACCCCTCACACGTTTCGTGGCCCCCTCACAGCTCCACCGAAGGCCCCATTGCTGCCGTCCGCATGCGTCCCGCACACCCATTTCGGCACACCCCTCACACGTTTCGTGGCCCCACAGGGAGCTCCACCGAAGGCCCCAGTGCTGCCGTCCGCATGCGTCCCGCACACCCATTTCGGCACACCCCTCACACGTTTCGTGGCCCCATAGGGAGCTCCACCGAAGGCCCCATGGCTGCCGTCCGCATGCGTCCCGCACACCCATTTCGGCACACCCCTCACACGTTTCGTGGCCCCATAGGGAGCTCCACCGAAGGCCCCATGGCTGCCGTCCGCATGCGTCCCGCACACCCATTTCGGCACACCCCTCACACGTTTCGTGGCCCCACAGGGAGCTCCACCGAAGGCCCCAGTGCTGCCGTCCGCATGCGTCCCGCACACCCATTTCGGCACACCCCTCACACGTTTCGTGGCCCCACAGGGAGCTCCACCGAAGGCCCCATGGCTGCCGTCCGCATGCGTCCCGCACACCCATTTCGGCACACCCCTCACACGTTTCGTGGCCCCACAGGGAGCTCCACCGAAGGCCCCAGTGCTGCCGTCCGCATGCGTCCCGCACACCCATTTCGGCACACCCCTCACACGTTTCGTGGCCCCATAGGGAGCTCCACCGAAGGCCCCATGGCTGCCGTCCGCATGCGTCCCGCACACCCATTTCGGCACACCCCTCACACGTTTCGTGGCCCCACAGGGAGCTCCACCGAAGGCCCCAGTGCTGCCGTCCGCATGCGTCCCGCACACCCATTTCGGCACACCCCTCACACGTTTCGTGGCCCCACAGGGAGCTCCACCGAAGGCCCCATGGCTGCCGTCCGCATGCGTCCCGCACACCCATTTCGGCACACCCCTCACACGTTTCGTGGCCCCACAGGGAGCTCCACCGAAGGCCCCAGTGCTGCCGTCCGCATGCGTC